GCTGCCTGATGCAATATCTGGCAAGGCCCCGTCTCTTATCAGAGTTCCATTCCCAGCCTCCTTGCTGGGACCCCAGCTTCCCAGGGGGAGGAGGGCCGGGCTGCAGTCCATCTGGGGCCCACAATAGAAGGGCCTGGCTGGAGGCCATCCAAGCAGAGAGCTCCTCCAGCGAGGTGCCTTGCCAAGTCACGAGGGAGGCCGGACAGAAAGACCCCGGGGAGAGCAGGGAAGGCGCAGCTTGCAGGGCCCTGGGCCTGGCTGCCAGCCCTCTTCCTACTCCTTTCCCCACTTCCCTTGCCTTAGCTCTTCTCCCCCCGCCCCCCAGTCGCACACACAGCTGCCTGAGCCTTGAACTGAAGGTCCCTGGGTTGGCAGGAGCACGGGAGAGACTGAAGCAGGTGAAGCCTTAGGTGTCAGCTCCGCAGTGGCCCACGCCAGTATGCGTCATAGATGTTGCAGCACGAGGGCCCTGTGCAGGCCACGGCCCACGACCAGAGTGGACGCGGCCACCCAAGCTCAAGATCTGGGCACTGAGCCACTAGGTCCCCTCACCTGTGGAGTAACTGCTTTTCCTTCTTCCTCTGCTCACTTTCTACCAAACCAATTAAGCGTCTTGCACGGGGCTGAGTGCTTGGGGAAACGCTGCCCTCCATTCATTCATTCATTCATTCATTCATTCATCAATTATTTATGGACACCCACTCTGTGGAGCACAGTTCTGGGCCCTGGGAACACAAAGGCGGTGGGACAGTCACGCTCTCCTCTGTGGAGCTGACATTCCAGTGGGTGAAAGAGGAGATCAACAACCACATTTCCATCCAGGAAGAGAAAAAGAGGATGCGGAGAGGGGAGGTGATGGGGGTGGGGGTTGTTTGGCCAGTCTTGGGAGAAGGACTGGGAGGAGGGGACATTGGAGCTGAGTCCTGAATGTCAGGATCCCACCCGAGAAGGTCTAGAAGAGCCTCTGGTGCAGCGACCAGGTAGGCAGAGTCCCAGGTGGGGAGTGGCAGGAAGGGCGGTGGAGGGCGGGCTGGGGTGTGAGGAGAGGGGGGCAGACCGCACCCTCCACTGGGGGCCCGGAGGCTTGTGTTCTACTATGAGTGATGCAGGATGGGGCTGGATATTCGAGACGCTTCCATGAGGCAGAGGAGTGGGTGTCTACACAGCTGTGATCAGGTGCCGTGTGATGAGGTGGGGAGAGTTGGGGAGAGGAAGTGGGTAGGGATTGAGTGGAAAGATAGAACTGTGCTGATGAAGGAGGAGGAGAGGTGAGTGGCACCCCTTGGAGCAAGGTGGGGGCGGCCATTGCCTAGGGAGAGCACACCGAGGCAGAGAAGACGGGCCCCATGCATGAGGACTGAGAGGAGAGGGATGGGAGAGGACGGGAGACAGGAGGGTGATAGTTACAGGTGGTGAGTGAGAATGTGCCAGGCAGCTGCTGGTTCCTGGAGGGCCAGACTGGACCCTGTTCCCCTCGAGTGATTTCTGGCATCTTCCAGGACCTGGCACACGGTGCACACCCCCCAGATGGTGGCTTGCATGAAAGAACGCAGCACTTGGGCTCTCTTCCTTCCTCTGGTATTTGCTCCCTACATGCAGAACACAGGGTCCAGAGAACTAACTGTCCCATGTCTGCTGTACCCAGGCAGAGCTGGGTGGCACACGCCCTGGTGGCACCACTAGCCTGGCACCCTGCAGTGTGGCGTTCACTGGTACACAGGCAGGGGATGCCACATTTCCCTTCAGCTGTCATGTCGTTGCTGGGGCCATTGAGGGGATAAACCCTCGGGGTATGAGGGCCAGGAGGGGCATCTAGCAGGAGGAAGAGAGAGGGGCTTTTCAGTTCTTCCTGTGAACCGAGCAATGGAGGCAGGACTAGCCCTTGCACCAAGAGACTGGGGAGGGCGCTGGGCAAAGTCATTCCGTGTCAGGGATCCCACAGCCCACTTCTTGTAGAGGCCTCCTGCAGGCAAGTTCTGCCTGGGCCTTGGCCAAGTGATCCTAATCTGGGTCCTGCCCTGTACCCTTCCCTCATGACCCTGTGACCTCTTGGTACCTGTGTCCCTGCCTTCTGGCTCTGGGGACCTGCCACATCCTGTAAACCTCACCCTCATCCCCCTGCCCCTTAGACTCCCAAAGCTAAACGGAGGGGTGGCCTGCCTGGGGCAGGGCCAAGGGGCCATCAGCCTGCCTCATGCCTCCTGCCAGAGTTTTCAGACTTGCCGCTTCTTTTTAGGGCACTGCTGCAGAAGATCTTAGGGACCCTGTATCATTCTTGGGGTGAAGAGGCTGGGACCACAAAAAATAGAAAACAGTCTCTGGATGGGAGGGGAGGAGAAGGAGCCTGTCATCGAAGCTAGGTGACTCCTAAGTCTTGCCAAAGGTACTAGACCTGACGGGAGAGGGCAGTGAGGCCCTTCCTCCCCCCTGCCCACCTTTCCTTCCCTCTCCTAGTTAATAAAACTTACTGTGCACCAGATGTGTCCCTCACAGAAACTGTATGCTCTAGGGACTGCCCTTTTCATACTGCACGGGAAGAAACTGAGGCCCAGAGACTTTAAGTCACTTACACGAGGTTGCACAATATGGTAGAGGCAGGAAAGACTCGAACCCAGCACTTCTGGGTGGTTGTTTGCAGTGCTGGGGACGGAACCCAGGGCCTCACACATGCTAGGCGAGTGCTCAGCCCCGGCCCCAGGACTTCTGATGGCAGCTCCTCTGCTTCCCTCACACCATCAGACTCAGGCAACCGTCACTGGAGAGCTGAAGAGCAGAGCGCCAGGAGGTCAGCTCGTTGCTCCCCACAGACACGGTATTGAGTCTCCCCTTCTCAATGGGACAGGCAGCCTCACGCCTCAGCACAGGCTAAGCAGGGTGCATGGCGAATGTGACCTCACTGACTGTTTTACACACTCAGGCCCAGAGCACATAGGGTGCCAGGTGCCATTGTCAGCACCGGTCCTGCCTTCAGGGAGCGTGTAACCTGGGAAAGGGAGACAAGCCATCAGCCGGAAAGCCCTATCATGTGTGCTATAATGGGGTCCCTGGAAACCAAGTGACCTGGACGTGGGAGAGGTGGTCAGTTCCCATGAGCCTCATTGCTTTCCCAAAGGGATCTTGTCTGGAAGGTGCCACTCCTGCTGTGTAGCCAGCCCTGCATCCAGCTCCTGCAGATTCCTACTCCCATCTTCTTGTCTCGAATGGGATCATGATGCAGCGGAGTTTCTCAATTTGGAACGCTCTGGTACCTCCTTGCCCCAGGGAACATTTGACCATGTCTTGAGACATTTTGATTGACAGAACTGAAAAGGGCTATGCTACCTCAGTATTCTTTGTGGCCACATAATAAACCAGTGCAAGCATACCCCACCGTTTTTATTTAGGCATTTCTAAGCCTTTGCTACTGCAAACATTTATACTGCGAGTGGCGTTCTTTTCCATATGCAGCCATGTGTCACTTAATGGTGGGGATATGTTCTGAAACATATGCTATCAGGTGATGGGGTGTACTTACACAAACGTAGAGAGCATGGATCAGTGTGTTAGTCAGATTTTCAATGCTGTGACAAAATGCCTGAGAACAACAACTTAAAGGAGGAAGGATCTATTTTGGCTCATGGTTTGAGAGGTCTCAGCTTCATTGTACCTGGGCCTGGGGTGAGACAGAGCATTTTGGTGGAAAGTTGGAAAGAGCAAAGCCACTCACCTTATGGTGGCTGGGAAGCAGAGAGGGAGAAAGGGGCCAGGGACAAGAAATATCCATTTAGGGCCCATCACCAGTGACCCACCTCCTCCAGTTTCCATCACCTTCCAAAATGCCCTCAACTGCAAACTGATCAATTCATTGATGAGATTGAAGCCCATATAATCCAGTCACCACCCTAGAGTGCCACCTCTGAATACTACTGCATCAGGGACCAGGACTTCAACATGTGAGCCTTTAGGAGACATTCCAGACCCAAACCATGACACTGAACTTGGCCTGTATATGTGTGTGGCATGTGTGCACACGCACATGTGCACATGCACATGCACTAGGAACCAAACCCAGAGCCTTGTGCATGCTAGGCAAGACTCTGCCCTGGAGCTATTCCCAACCTGCTTCTTTTTTTGCGGGGGTGGGGGGGGTGGGGGTGGAGTAGTTCCAGGGATTGAATTTAGGGGCATTCAAACACTGAGCCACGTCCCCAGCCCTATTTTTTGTGTTTTATTTAGACACAGGGTCTCACTGAGTTGCTTAATGCCTCATTTTTGCTGAGGCTGGCTTTGAACTCGAGATCTCCTGCCTCAGCCTCCTGAGTCATTGGGATTACACAGTGCCCAGCAGCATATTGTCTTAAAGTGAACTTATTTTTTTTTTTAATAATTGGAGTACACTCTAAAATGATGATGAAAAGGTATAGTAGAATATAACCCTATGGCAGATTTTATTATCAAGCGTTATGTACCATCCATAATTGCATTCACTTTTATCCAGCTGTCTGCACAAATTTGCACCAACACAAATACCAAGTAATGCATTGACATCACCACAGCTATGATGTCATGCATTGACATCACCACAGCTATGATGTCATTAGGCAATAGGGATGTTTCAGCTCCATTAAAATCTTCTAGGACCACCATTGCAGAGCCAGCTGTCCTTTATCTGAATGGCATATGCTGTAGGTGGTTGTACATGCCTTTGACTTGTGAGATGGAGGGAGTAGCTGAGAGGGGTGGGGTGATGAATGGCTTTGTTAGCTTTTCTTTTTTCTTTATTTTTTTGGGGGGGATATTGGGGATTGAACCCAGGGTCCCTATCCCTGCTTATCAGCATTTTCAGTGACCTATTAAAGACTCCTCAAGTCTCCTGAGGCCGAGTCTGTTTCAAGAGTGAGTCTGGGGCTCAAGAGTGAGTCTGCCTGGCAGGGCCAGGATCCTCAAAAGTCCGGTGGAGAGGTGTTCTCTGTGTCCCCCCCTCTACAGACACGGTGTCCTGACCACCTGTCTCTCCGCAGGACAAGGGTGTTTCCCACCTGAAGACCACAAGCCAGGTCCTGAGTGCTGTCCCTGAGCTGAGTACCTGCGGCCAGCCTGTCCTCATGGAGAAAGGACTCACTTTGCCCCAGGACTGCCGGGACTTTGTGCAGAGCCTGAGGATGAGGAGCAAATATGCCCTTTTCCTGGCTTTTGTGGTGGTGGTTTTTGTCTTCATTGAAAAGGAAAACAAAATCATATCAAGGTAAGGGATACGATCAAGGACAAATCTCCCTGATCAAGGTGGGATGGCTGGGGACAGGGGACAGGAGGGCTTCCTGTGGACCTGCAAGTGCCTCCCTTCAACAAGTGACCACCAGGCCCCTCCTGTGGCCCAGGCAGAGTCCCAGGCACAGCAGTGAGCCCTGGGCTCTGGACTCGGGCAGCTGGGTTGGCATGTTCATGCTGCCACTTCCCAGCTGCAAGAGCGAAGATGAGAGATTTCACTTTTCTGAGTCCTGGATTAGTCTTCTGTAAAATGTGACTAGGAGCTGCCTTGTTGGAAAAAGTAAATGAGAAAATGTATGAGCATTTGGCGCAGCCCCTGGCACACGATCCATGCCTGGTGTTTGCTGGCTGTGACTATGTATTGTTACTAATTGGTTTCCTGGCCTAGATGATGGCTCACGTCAGCAGCACAGCCCCTACACTAGTCTTGGTGTTATGGGTAAGGGTGAGCCCACGGGAAGGCAAGGTTCTGGTGTGGACACTCTGGTAGGGCTGCCAGATTGTGTACTGCTCAACTCCAGAGATGGGTCCCTTAAATAGGCTCCTCTGGGAATCCCACGCCTGCCTGCCCTAAGTTCATAGAGCATTACTGTGTGCAGAGGGCCTGCTAGACACACAAGGGTTTCTGGGACCCCTTCCCCTCCCAGGCACAAGCCCTGTAGGGAAATCGCAGTTCCTATGCATAAGGAAGGGGCCTGAAGCGCACTGTTAGTGCCCCTCCTGGGTGGCTTATTATGGATGGACCTAGTTCATGTTTACTGGTCCTACTGAAACTCCCTGGACCTCTCCACCCGCACATTGGCAAGCCAGGAGTGCCAGGAAATGCAGGTTCAGAGCTCTCGGGTCAGACTGAACCTCATATATTCCAGGGGTTTCCTGCTCGGTAGCAGTACACCCTTCACCTACATCTCCTCCCGCCTCAGTTCTTCTCTGTCCTGATAAACTACACTCAAATCCTGGCCTCAAAGTCTGCTTCTGGGGAAACCCAGCTAGACACACTATTTGTTGGTGATGAACTGGGAAGATTGCCTAGAGTTGCATAGGCGCACCCCCTGCCCCCAAATCAGGCACTGACCCTGGACTCCCTGTGATCTCCACAGAGTCTCTGACAAGCTGAAGCAGATCCCCCAATCCCTGGCAGACGCCAACAGCACCGACCCAGCGCTGGTCTTGGCCGAGAACGCGTCCCTCCTGTCCCTGAGTGAGCTTGACGCGGCCTTCTCGCAGCTGCAGGGCCGCCTGCACAACCTCAGCCTGCAGCTGGGTGTGGAGTCGGCGGCGGAGGCCGTCGGGGAGCGGCAGCAGGAGGAGCCCTCGCAGCCTGCCAGGGCCGGGCACCGTCGCCACGTGCTCCTCATGGCCACCACCCGCACGGGCTCCTCCTTCGTGGGCGAGTTCTTCAACCAGCAGGGCAACATCTTCTACCTCTTCGAGCCGCTGTGGCACATCGAGCGCACCGTGTCCTTCGAGCCGGGAGGTGCCAGCGCCGCGGGGTCGGCGCTGGTCTACCGCGACGTGCTGAAGCAGCTCTTCCTGTGCGACCTGTACGTCTTGGAGCACTTCATCAGTCCCCTGCCTGAGGACCACCTGACGCAGTTCATGTTCCGCCGCAGCTCCAGCCGCTCCCTCTGCGAGGACCCGGTGTGCACGCCCTTCGTCAAGAAGGTCTTTGAGAAGTACCACTGCAAGAACCGCCGCTGCGGCCCCCTCAACGTGACGCTGGCGGCGGAGGCCTGTCGCCGCAAGGAGCACATGGCCCTCAAGGCCGTCCGCATTCGGCAGCTGGAGTTCCTGCAGCCGCTGGCCGAGGACCCCCGGCTGGACTTGCGCGTCATCCAGCTGGTGCGCGATCCCCGGGCCGTGCTGGCCTCCCGCATGGTGGCTTTTGCGGGCAAGTATGAGACGTGGAAGAAGTGGCTGGCGGAGGGACAGGACCGGCTGCAGGAGGAGGAGGTGCAGCGGCTGCGGGGCAACTGCGAGAGCATCCGCCTGTCGGCCGAGCTGGGCCTGCGGCAGCCCTCCTGGCTGCGCGGGCGCTACATGCTGGTGCGCTACGAGGACGTGGCGCAGCAGCCACTGCAGAAGGCCCGCGAGATGTACCGCTTCGCCGGCATCCCGCTGACCCCGCAGGTGGAGGACTGGATCCAGAAGAACACCCAGGCGGCCCTCGATGGCAACGACATCTACTCCACGCGGAAGAACTCCTCGGAGCAGTTCGAGAAGTGGCGCTTCAGCATACCCTTCAAGCTGGCCCAGGTGGTGCAGGCCGCCTGCGGCCCTGCCATGCGCCTCTTCGGGTACAAGTTGGCCCGGGATGCTGCCTCCCTCACCAACCGCTCCTTCAGCCTGCTGGAGGAGCGCGGCACCTTCTGGGTCACGTAGGGAGCCTGGTGCCCCGTGGACCCCTCCTCCTGAAAGGTCTGCCCGCCTTCCTCACACCCAGGCCAGCAGGGAGACGCATCCCTGGCAGAGGGCAGTGGGAAGCTGCCCTGAACGCAGGCAGCCCCTGCTGTAGCACTAGGCCCCAGCCAGCCAGTTTGCTCAACCCCAGGGCCGCCCTGGGGTCTCCTGCCCAGAACAGGACAGTACCTTCCCTCCAGGGCCTGCAGTCTCCTGAGCAGACCCCAGCCTATTGGCAGGTCCCCGTGCCCGTCTCTCCTGCACACACAGAAATGTACATGAAAAACGCATTAAGGCCTGGGAGCTCTTTGGGCCAGGGGCCAAAGATTTAACAACCAGCAGGGGCGTGGGCCCTGACCAGCCGCTCAGACCTCCTTTTACATGCTCAGTGTTAACCTTTTCCTTTCTGGATTGTGGGGAAGCCTGGAACCTGGGTGAGTCCTTGGAGAGGAAATAGAGCAGCCCAGAGGTGGGGTACTGGAAGCTCATCAGGTGACTATGTAGTTTACCATCCAGTACAAAATAATCTGCTCTTTTAATAAACAGGATCGGGGTGCTGGTTCCTGATGAATGTCAGCCCTGCACAGAACTGCAAGACACACACAGGCGTGCACACGGACAGAAAAACATCATCGAACAGGTCCACGCGCACGAGTGGGCATAGAAAGGTTTCCCCATTCCTTTCTGCCCACAGGATTCTTCTGTGTCGCATCAGAGAGAGCCCTTTGATGACATTCTTAGGATTATTTGGAGGGACAGGGGAAGGAAAAGTGTTCAAGGGCAATGACCATTCCCTGACCAGGTGTGGAACTGAACGGTGGACCAAGAACTGCCTAGCCCACCACCCCTGCCTGCTGGAGCTTGTGCCTACCTCCTATGACCTGTCCACGTCCCATGGCTGGCAGGCAGGACATTTTGAGAAGATGTGGCTGGTCCTCATGTGACTGCAGACCCAAAGCCCCATGTAGCTCTTGCCTGGCTCCCTGGGAGCATGTCTTTAGTTGAAGACTGCCTTAGGCCCAACTGGCAGAAGCAACTTTGGTCCCTGGAGGTAAAGACAAGTGACAGTTTCTGCCATTTCCAGCCAGGCCTCATCTGGAGCAGAGCCAAGAAGTTTGGAGTGTGGTGGCGGGGAGAAGTCCCATCAGGACACATTCCTCCCCTGAGGAGCCTGCCTGCTCCCCGGGTGGAGGGAGGTCAGCCAGCTGGTTGCCATGGTTACAACTAGTGTCCAAAGGAATTCCTCCTTTAGGGTTCTGAGAAGAGTCTTGCTCCACTCAGGATGGGCTGGGTGCTTTACTTAGGGCTTTTTAAGTTATTTATGGCTTGGTGTCTTTCTTGTTTTGTGGCTGTTTTTGGTTTTGTTCTGCTGCTGACAAGCTGTCTGGACTTGAGGGCCTGGTGGGGGAGGCTGGGAAAACCAGCAGGGAGCACATGTCTCCTGGCAGAGGGAGAGGGGTGCCTTCCCCAAGAGGACTGGAGAAGAGGTGGCACATGGCAGCCCTCAGTGCCCCATGGGATTTTCTGTGTGAACCCCACATAGAACAAATCTCAGAAGCCACCAGTATTCTTGCTGGTGTCTAGGGCAGTGTGGAATGAGTGACAGCCCTCGCTCCCTCCTGGAGAAGAGGCTGAATCTTATCCCACATTTCCTAAGGGGGACAAGGACTCAAACCTGTTAGCAAGTGGCTGAACGCAGAGTGCAAACCCTGCCCCACTCCCACTCCAAACCCAGGAGCAGAAGCCAGGATGGCCTTGGAGCTTGCAGAAGCTGCCTGGTTCACGAGGACTGCCCTCCTCGTTCGTACTTCCTGGACAGCCTCTCCTCCAGATACAGCCCCGTTAGACCCAAGGGCTGAGTTGGTTTCAGTAACACCGTCAGGTCGCCAGAAAAGCACAGCATCGGAGTTCAGCTGGAGCTGTGGGGGGAAAGGCAGAGTGGCCTGGCAGGAAGCTGCCCTGTGTGAGGACGCTGACCATCTTGTGGGATTCATTATAATCCACCTCTTTGAGCCACTGAGTCTCCAGCACCGTGGACTTCTGTTGTTCGAGCAGCCCTTTGCTTTAGATGTTCTTCTCCCCCTCTAATTTAGATGTGCTGGTCCAAGAACAAGTTGGGTAGGGAGCTGACTCTTATTTGGAGTCCAAAGGGATACCAGCTCTGGAAACTTCATCGTGGGGCTCCGTAGGGCCCAGATGTTTCTTGCAGGCCCAGGAGTGCCAGCTGCTCTTCCCAGCCCCCATTCTGTTCCTTGAAAGGGTGGTGGGGAGGGATACCTCCATGGGAGGCTCTTCCTAGGGGTCCTCTTGGTTGGACAGCAGACTTCTTCCTTCCTCCTGCATCAAGGCCTCCGTCTCAGCTCTCTGAAGATAGGACCAAGAATGGACCTTTAGGATTCTCAGGACATTGACAATGTGTATACTGCAAGTTGACTTAATTTATTTATTGTGTGAAAAGAAGCAACAGAAAATATTATTGGCAGGGACTCAAAGCTAAACCCAAATCAAGACAGACAAATAATAATAATAATAGAAACCACCCTCGCCCCCCACACACAAGGACACCCACAGACAGTTCTGAAGGCAGGAGGGGACTAAGTCAACGTGCCAGCAGACAGTGGCCCCGAGGTACTGTTTAAGGAGGTTCCTTAGTTTTTCTCCTAGGGATTTGAAAATGTGACACGAGGGCCCTTTCTGGTTGCCTTTGCCCAGGTATCTGACAGACTCTAGTGGGTGGTGGCCTTGACACTGATCCCCGGGGGGCTCGGTAATGCCATGGGAGCGCTTCTGGTTTGGGGAAGGACTGTGGGGTTCACTGTTGGCTTCCCACTCTGTGGACATGGCCAGGGTTGTGCATTTGAGGTCTTCAGCACGGAGCTGGGAGGGAGAAGGTGGTCCAGCTGGTATATTGAGCAGAGGGTGCCCAGGAAGCCCATCACAGTGGCATCTTTTCCCACCATCCCTGCTGTCTGTCGACCATGGAAGGAGCAAGAGATGACAGGTGCACCTGTCCTGAGCAATAGGGAAGGAGATAGAAGCACCCGAAGTCTGATCCAAACCCCAACAGTCTCTTCCACCCTCCCCCATGCCATGACCTGTTTGAGGGGTCTGTCCCGTGAAGGACCGGAGCAGAAGACAAGCTGGCTGCCTCCTCAAGGCAGTCTGCTCCCACGCCCACCCTAAAGGCTGAAAGTGGAGGCAGGTCTCAGGAAAGGGAGAGAGAGGGGTTGGTGGGGCTGAGGACAGATGTTAAAGACGCCAAGTGGCTCCTATTGATCTGCACAAGCAGGAAAAAGGAGCATCCACTGAAATCAGGAGCCCCGAGATGGTGGATTCGTTGCGAAGCTCCTCGGGATGTGGTCCGGCGAGATGGGAGGGAGGAGGCCCGGGTTTCCTGAAGGCCACCACATCCGCCGTCAACTGCCCACAGTTTCAGAAATAGTGGAAGTTATTCTTTACCTCAAAAGCGTAAAGCAGAACTGGCAACTTCAATGTCTCAAGAGCTAAGACCTTTTCACCTAGTGTCCTCTGGTGTCCTGTGAAGGACAAGTGGATATCTTTCCAAGGATACAGACCTGGCGCCCTCCTCGTGGGCCTAGCTCATGTTGCAGACCAGTTTATTGGGGGGATACAGTTCTTGCGTAGCCTCTCCCATCTCTTGGGCTGGAACTGGGCACCCTGGGATGTCTCCGTCTTAGCTGAGTATTCTGGACCTGGTTTGCTCAAGTCCCTTGTTCCTTCTGGGATCCACCAAACTCTGCCAGAACCTGGGTCCAGTATCATGGCCTGTTAATTGTGTCCACGCATTTGTGTAGGACATCCTGCTCCACCTCTAGTGCCCCCCCACATAGTTCCCAGCCCCTTTGCCATCATTGTCCCAGATGTCCTTGTGGTGGCCACAGACAATCTGCCAACTCCTGGAAAGGCCGGGGCTGCCCGTCAGACAGCTGGTGGTCACTGGCGCTCAGGGTCTGTTTTGTGGAATGGAATGTGAACCCATCGCCCGAAGGCTTACTTGACTTATTTAATTAAAGCTGAAAACATGCAATGAGAAAATTCTGCAGCGTTTCTTCTGCATTTGTTCTCGGCAGCCATTGAACCATAAAAATTAACAGGAAAAAAACACTAAGCAGTAGGTAAGACATGACTTCCAGCATGAAGCAGGGCAGGGACACCTGCTGCCCATCCCCACAGGGTGACAGAACAGAGGGCATGATGAATGCCATGGTCCCAGATGGCAGAGCCGACAGTGACCATGTTCCCAGGAGCCAGCTGCAAGGACAAGGTCTGAGGATCAATGTCCAGGTATTATGGGATAGGAATAGGAAAATCAGACTAGCTGTCAGGGGACCCAGTTTTGCTATTAGCTGGCCATAAAACAAGTCACTTCCCCCACCTGGGTCCCAGGTTCCTTTTGGAATGAAGGGTACATGTAGTTTACGATTTTCCAAAAATACCCTTTTACACGGTTTCTTGAGATTTCATTCTCCTTTCAGCTAAGAAATACAGTGGCATCCTTTCAAATCGCAATGACTTTGCTGTATAGGTTGTAACAGCTCTAGTGGGAATGAGGCTGCAGCCCTGTGTTAGCTTTCTGTTACTTTCTGTAACAACTACCCCCAGAGAACTTACAAAGAGAAGAATGTGCCAGGAGCAACTGAGGAGGGTGTAGCAGGAGGATCCCAAGTTCAAGGCCAGCCTCTGGCAACTTAGACCCTGCCTCAAAAATGTAAGGGGCTGGAGCTATGGCTCAGTGGTAGAGCACTTGCCTAGCATGCAAGGCCCTGGATTCAAACTCCAGCACCACCCCCCCCCAAAAAAAAAAGTGTATCAAAATAAAACTTTAAAAGGCTAGGAGTGTAGCTCAGTGGTGGAGCCTCTCCCACCCTGGGTTAAATCTCCAGTATCATCATCCAAAAAAAGACATTTATGTAGCCCCACAGTTTTGGATGTTTCAGTCCAAGATTGGGCAGAACCATTGCTTTTAAGCCTCTGGTGGTGGGGGAGTTCATTTTTGGACACAGGAAGACAATTGGCAGAGCTTTGGGGTCTGGGGGTCACAGGAACAGCAGCATCTGTGAAGGGGCAGAGGAGAGCTGAGCCCCGCAGACGGTGGGTGGTTCCTGCAGGAAGGAGAGATAACACAGTGGGGCACGACGAGGGGGATGGGAACCCCCTGGGCCCCCTCCCCAAAATGCAACATGAATCTCTGCCCTTGCACCCAGTCCAGTCTTTGGAACCATTTCGTGCCCAACCCTCAAGATATTTGAATCCACGTGGTGACACTCCAACAGGAATAGAATCTCCCACTCCTGTCGGGGACACTTTGCTGTCTCCACTTCCCTGGGGACTGGATATAGTTAACTTCTGGCTGTGTTTCCTGCCACAAATAAGCCACGAGAGAACTAAATTGCCCTAATCACAGAGCACAGAGGCCTGGCCACCCACCCACCCCCTCCGCTACCAGCCCAGGCCGGAAGTCACCTTTTCTCCTTCCTCCCACACCCTTTGGGCTCAACCTACACCCCAAGTTACTCAACCCTGGAGAGGAGCCGAGCACACCACAGGGGCTCTGAGGCAGTGACAGCCATCACAAATCCACCCGGAAAGCGCTTGGGTCAGCAGGGCCTGGGACCTGCGTGCGGCAGGCCAGCCCTGGCCCAGCTGGAGCCAGCAGCAAAGGAACCTGATGGCTGGTCACAGCGTTGCTCTTGGGACGTCCCAGCGCACAGTAGCTTATTAAAGGCTCTGAGAAGGCCTGTGTCGACCCACAGTAAGGGTTCCTTCACAGAAAGGCCCATTTTTATGGGTGGGATCCTTAATCATGATTTTTTTTTCCTCAAATAACAATATTTTCAAGTCTCTGGAATCCTGAAGAACAGTCTGGAGGCAACAGAGGCCTGCAGAAGCAGACAGGAAGGTGACAGGTTAAGAAGCTGAGGAGAAGCAGCCCAGGGACAAGTAGGTTTAAGGGCCCCTTTCCACCTTCTTGACGTTCTCACGGAGCTGCAGGCCGGTCTGCAGAGGGGTGGTGGGGACGGCCGCAGCCCCAGGGTCGCCGCGGGCAGCAGTTCCTGGAGTTCCAATTTCTGTGCTGCTGCCTTGGAACCTCCTGTCCTCTGAAACCCTTGGCCCTCAGCTCCCTCCACTCAGTCACACCTGTGGTGACCCCTAGGGAGAGTGGGAATTCTGAACTAGGACAGGCACGAACACCATCAGCTCTGTTTAACAGAAACTGGAGTTCTAGAAAGTTCTTAAAGCAGCCATTTCTGAAACAGCCGGGTCCCTGGAAGTAGTAGCCCTCTAGCAGCCGCTGACCCCTCTGCTATCTGCTGCTGCCCAGTTTACTAGAAGAACATGCTGATAGTAAAGGTTCAACAGGAGAGGGCTGCCCGTGGTCAGAGTGGAAGAGGGAGGAGGGAGAGAGGGAGGGAGGAGAAAAATGGGAGGGGGGAAGAAAGAAGAGGAAAGGAGGGAGGGGAGGAAGAAAAGGAGAACAGGAGAGTGACAATGGAACTCATTCTCGGGGTGCAGGGGAGGAAGACTGTCAGGTTGTCAAAAAGAGCACCCCTGAGGACAGTCACAGCCAGGCCTTCCACAAGCCAATGTGCCTATCATTAATAGAGACCAAGATTTCAGGGTGCCCAAGAATTCAGGGGACTCTCAGGGTCAGGCCAAGCAGGGTCCACACATAGCCTGCACACCACGGGTCATGGACCGAACCCACCCCGAGGCCGAGCAGCTTCTAATTGTGTTTGTTTTGTTTTTGAAGTTGGCATTGAAAGCCAAAATTAATGGATTTGCATTAAAAAAAAAAAAAACAGATTTCTGGTTCCTCTGAGACTGGGGTGCATCTTGGTTTGAGTCAACCAGAAAATGACTCTGGGACAAGGGCTCGGGTGGCAATGCAGCCGTTTCTCTGGGGGCTCCAGGCAGCCCTGCAGGGAGGAGGGGAGGGAGTGAGGAGTGGAGGGTGCTCTGTGAAGGCAGCCGTCACCTTGAGAAGTTGCAGCAGAATCCTCCAGAAATGACAGAGAGCCCAGGCCTGGGAGTTACCCAGGGTGAGGTGAGGGAACCTGGAGCGTCCCCACCCCAGCCCCTCCCGTCTCTGCTGAAGGCTGTTCTTGGAGAGTGTTGACCCCCCAGACCCTCTGTGGGTCCCAGTGGAACAGCACTCTGGGTTTCTGGGAAAAGCCATCAGGCCCAGGAGCAAAGAAACAGGTGGTTGGAAGCTTCCAGACACAATGAAAAGTGAGGTGTGAGGGAGGGGGAGGGGGCCAGTCAGCATCTGCACCCTGGGGTGATCGGTCACTGACACCTTCATTCCCACAGCAATAGCAGGCTGCACCTGGGAGAAGGGCAGCGTCCCCCTGTCCCTCTGCTGTCCCCAGTGCTGAGGCAGCATGCTCATTGCCGTTTAGCACAGCACCTGCCCTGCTCATTCACTTCCAGCCAGGAAGCTTCTCTGTGAATCCGTATGTGTTCAAGAGGAGAAAGCCACAGGCCAAGAGGCCACAGCTATCGGGCCATTCCTATGACAGCTCCCCAGCCACCGTAGGCATTTGAGCTTACGCCACTGGCTTCAAGTCCTGGTGGACGCTGAGGCCTGGGCCGACTATCCTGACAACCACCCGTGCTCCCTAATGCTTAGCCTCAGGAGGCAAGTGTCAGTGTGCAGTCCGCTGCCCTGCCTGGGGCTGCTTGTCAACACCACCAAACCAACTGTCCCATTGTGACGGGTGCCATCTCCCGTCACACCCACCTGGATTTCTCCTGACACCTAAGCAGTTATCACCCAGTGCCTGCCCCATGGAGGCGAGCAAGCAAATACCTGAGATCTGGTAATTTATAAAGAATAAAGGCTAATTTTGCTCCTGGTTCTGGAGTCTGGGAAGCCGAAGGGCATGGCCAGGCCTCTGCTCAGCACCTGGTGAGTGCCTCAGGCTGCATCACAACATGGTGGAAGGTGTCCCATGGCAAGACAGAGCAAGCTTACCAGAGCCAACCTGCTTCTATACCAAAACCAACCCCTTAATGACCCTCTAATCCATTAGTGCCAAAAGTCTCCGTCAATCCCATTAGCATATGAGTCTGGGTCCCTATTGCTCGTGTGTAAGTGGGGGACACTGTCAAGGGCAAGGACACATTCATGCAGTATGCCTGGTTCACAGCAGTCACTGGGACTTTCAGCCCATGCTCCCTCTTCTGGATGCGGCTCAGTTAATCACTGAATGGACATAGTTTAGCTCTTCCCTGGGGACCCCTCCCTCTCTTGCTGCTTCCCCAGCTGCTATGAGTAGAGTAGCTTTCCCCACCACACTCTTCCTCCATGATGTTTGCCTCACCTCGAAGGGCCCAGAGCAAAGGAGTTGGCTGACCATGGACTAAACCTCTGAAACCAGGAGCCAAAATAAACTCTCTCCCTCCAAAACAAAAAGATAGTTTAAAGTCTGGGATTTAAATAAAGCTTGTCATGGAATCTGGGAATGAATACTAAGGTCCCCCGGTGCCTGCCCCATGCAGGCGAGCAAGCAAGCTACTCCCTGCAGGATGGACACTGGAAACCAGAGCGGAGGCCGCAGACAGCCTGCCCCGCCCCAGAGCGGCTCCCAGAGTTTGCACAGTGGGTAGGGGCTAGTTCTCTCCTTCCTCTGGGAAGCGTCCGTGCAGTCCATTTCTGTTGTTTTTAATACCTTCTTTCTCTTGACTTGATGTTGATTTGTTTAAAGCTGTTTCCCCTCCAGGAAAAAATGCCCCCTGCCTCTCATCCGTATGAATGGAGGGAACATCGGAATAAGATGCTGGATGAAATCAGCTCATTGAGAACATCGCCCATCTGCAGCGCTTCTCCCCCTCCCTGGGCCCCGAGGGATCTGCCTGGCCCCAAAAGAGCCGCCTTCACACTTGGCCCGGAGACTTCAGCTTCTCCGCGCCTGTCCCGTTTGGCTGGGGAGCAGAGGAACAGTTGAGGAGACATGTGTCACAACTTGTACCAACCCCAGGAGCCTGTTGCGGGGAAAGCCCCTGATTCTTACTCATAGAAGCCAGGGCCTTTA